TTTAAAAAAAAGTGAAATTCCAAAGAAAGAAAGAGCATTTTGTACTTAGAAAAAAAAAGTTTCTTATACCACGAATTTCCAGCATTTTGAAATAAAATGCATGCCATTTCAAAAAAATTTTCATAAGCGAAATTTTTGCTGGTAATAAAACAAAAAATTTTAATTTATAAATTAAATTATTATTTCAAACATTTTTATATTATTATTTTTATTAAAAATAATTAATTATTGTAAACGTTTAAAATGAATACATGAAAAATCGAAAACTGTTATTATTCTAAATTTTATGATATTTTAAATGAAATAAAATTCTAATTAAAATAAAATTGATAAATATTTTATTAAATTTAACCTAACACGTACCAATGTGGCAATATAAGCTGCATAGCACTTTAATTTTCTAAATCTAATGACGCGTAAATGGCGGCTAAAATTATTTCATGACTTTCATTCCTGTAATAAATACAATTAATTTAATTATAATTATTTCTATAATTAGCTACATAATTAATCACTATTATTATACTTGGTGAAAAGGGAACTTGAAATATTGGATCATTAAGGGTAAACTGGTTTATAAATTTTGATATCTTAGAAAATTTAACGTAAGTCAAAGTAATAACTCTTTATTACTCAAAGCGAGGTAAATAAAAATATAGACTTCTGAATTAACTGCATTTGAGTAATTTTGAATAAAGCGTACCAGAATTTTACTTGTCATTTTTATTCAAGATTTAAAATTAAATAACATGTGCTATGAATTTGGAAAACAATTTATTCGATACTTATTAGTGGTTTCTTTTGACTCATTCAAAATAAACAATGTCAAACAAATCTGGTAACAATGTAATTATCTGTTACTTGTGTTCCCAATAAACAGCAAATGAAACTATTTAAATGAGAGCACGCAATTTCCATAAAGATGTTAGCGTGTGTGTCAGACAAGGTTGCTCAATGCTTTATTTCTCATTTAATATTTTTAATTAAATATCACATTTAATATGCTTTAAAAAAACAGCGATGAGGAAGATAAAAAGATTTTAATTGGGATAAATAACTTAATTTTTTACCATTTAGGATAAAAACATTCAGTACTTCCATGCACAGAGCACAACACACTGAGACATTAATTAAATAAATATTAAGATGCAAATTCAAGAATTGGTTTGAAAGACACACCTAGAACATAGCTAATTTCTTTATTATATTATATTATATTATATTATATTATATTATATTACATTTATTTGAAGTGATGATTTCAATCGTAAAATCAGACACAACAAAAGCTCTGCATAACATTCTTGGTGAATTTCCATGTTTGAATTCTTGGTGAATTCTTGAAGAGATATTGGGCAAGGCATGTGATGTTTGTCTGAGGTATAATATTTAATACTACTGCAAAACACCGACTTTCAGGTAACCGATAAAAGTAAACGAAAAGACATAGAACTGGAAATTAAACAAACTAATCGAAGTTCATAGCAAAAATAATAATTCTGATAACGTAATTATATTGTTAATTTGGCACTTAATAATACTGATATAGAGAACAATAAAGGTAATCGTAGTAATTAAAATTAAAAACAGAACATCAGTTACGAAAAAGACACAGCTTTAATTTTCTCTTGACTATACTACAGTAAACAATTTTTTCCATACTGGTAAACTTTTAAGAGAAAAATATTTTTTTAAAGCCTAACATACAATTTCTAGAATGCAGGAGTTATTAAAAAAAAGAAAAAGAGAGAACGAAAGAAAAGCGTATCGCTCTTAATTTATGTTTTTTTTTCACCTTATAAACTATTATTAACAAACTTATAAACGAACTATTTCAATATTACATGGAGTGAAAGTAAACTGGGGCTCCAATGAAACGCATATTATTGAAAAAGTCATATAAATGAGAAAAGTATACTCAGTGGCTTACTGCATAAATAAATATTCATAAAATAAAAGATAATAAAAATAAAGAGAAATTAATAGATTCACTACAATGCATTGCGAATTCATTGAGTGTAATAAGGAACTTACTTTTCATCGCATTAAAATTTTTAAAATCTTGAAATAAACCTCTGTCAAGCTACTTGTATTGCTTTCTGATATTTTTTTTCGAACGGTACTTTCTCTTGAAAACTGCAACAGCTGAAAACCCAACTTCACACTAGTATCAAATAGCAAAATGATTGAGAATCCTTATAACTTTTCAGGGTGCAGATTTTTTACAGTGAAAACATTTTTGATGAGCGTTAATGAAACTTTTTTCCTTCTGAAAAGCTACAAATTAATATTAAAGGAAGAATATCAGGTCGAGCTTAGTGAGTTTTGCACAAATGAGATGTAATATGATATACCAATCAAAATGACCCAAAAAATAATTGAAGATAAGGCTTCTGGTATTTTAAGCCGCCATACATTTAACGATCCTTGGCAACCATTAACCCGTAGCTTTTCATCCCTACTGACTTATGCAATAGAATGTAATATTACCATGAAAACGCACTGAAAGATAAGGCCTACCTATATTCTAAATAGTAATAAATTCTAATCTTCCTATCCGTTGACCCTATGGGAGGTTTTGTAATGGTTCAGGCCCCCATCTTTCTCCATATAGAAGATAGGAGGCAAGCACAACCAATTTGTACTTACAAATTTAAACTAATTATACCTCTAATTCAAAAAATTTAAAGTTCCTCGCTCCCGGCTTATCACACCAGGTCATTCACACTGAATCCGATTACCCTAGACGAGCGTACGAATGATTAGAAACTACATGTAAGACGAACTGGTATGGCATATGCGAATCGCGTGCAGTAAAAATGCTTAAGGTTTCTTTTAGCATCAACTGCATAGCTGCCAAGATGGATGGGAGTAGATTTTACGATTGCATAATATATTAAATAAGTTACAAACAGGGAATTTTAGGGATTTTTATTGTCCTCAAAATATAAACAATATGTTACCAATAACCAATAGTCTTCCGCAGAATTGGCAGCCATGCAATTGGTACTCGCGACCCGCACGCGATCTAAACTCGCTTTCTTACACTGAAATAGGCACAAGCCAGTACAGTAGTCCCCGAGGAGATCCCTGCGCTAAAAGATCTACTCAGAATGCACGATGCCTTATTTTTAATTTGTTTTCTTGGTATTTTAATGGAATTTCGGTCTGCCTAANACACTGAAATCGGCACGAGCCAGTACAGTAATCCCTGAGGAGATCCCTGTTCTAAAAGATCTACTCAGAATGCACGATGCCTTATTTTTAATTTGTTTTCTTGATATTTTAATGGAATTTCGGTCTGCCTAATTGATGCAAGGAAAAATTTATCGGTCTTAGATTTGAAGTTATGGGCACCTCTCTACATCACAGGATGTTGCAGCACACGCTTTGGGAACCCTATTCATTACCTAGGACATAGGGTACCAATGGTTTTGTCTAGAGATTGGTTCTCTTTTATGACCTTAATACTCATTTCTCGTTATTTCTAAAGAACTTACGACGCGAATCAATTCCCTATCCACATTTATAAATCTATATTTTCCCAAAATTCTTACAATTCTCTTTATTAATTATTTTATTAACTAATTTTTATTATTTTTTTAATACAATTGAAACTACTTTGGATTATCAAGTATACAAATTTCTTAACCAATTTATAATTATATAAAAATGCAAAATCTGAATAAAATTAGTTGACTGATACTTGATTAAATAAAAAAAAAATTCTGAATAAAAATTAAAAATAAAAATATTTTTTTTCAAAAACACTTTCAATTAAATTTTATCTCCTTAAATTGAGTAATTTAAGAAGAATTTTCTATCCCTCATAATCTAAAGTTCCTAAATTAAATAAGATACTATTTTAAAATGAAAATAATAATCACGTAATAGTATTAAGTACTAACGATAATAACTATTAATAATAATAAGTAATAAAAATAATAAGTAATAATAATAATAAGTGATAATATTAATAAGTGATAATAATACTAATAGTAATAATAATAATAAGTGATAATATTAATAAGTGATAATAATACTAATAGTAATAATAAATAATAATAACAAATAATAATAAGTAACAAAAATAATAATGTAAACTTATAAA